TGTATCTCTGTTTAATTTTTCTTGTTTTGACACAGGGTCTTGCTAAGTACTCCAGGCTGACGGCAAACTCATGGGGATGCTCCTACCTCAGCCTCCTGAGCTCTGGGATTATAGGCATGTGCCACCAAGCCAATGCTCCTGGCAGCTTCATCCAGTGTATCTTGGCTTTTTTTGTTCTGTTGAAGAACTCTGGGAAAGAGTAGGTCACTTTTGGAAGTCCTTATAGTTCTGAAGGTATCTTTGCTTGGCTACATATAAAATTATAGGTTAGCAACATTTATTTCTCTGCTTTTAAAAATATTGTTCTATTGACTCTCTAGCCTCCAGTGTTATGATTCAGGAGCTGTTTTTCTCCTCTCTGGAAGGCTTTAGGGCAGTTTCTCTGGGAAGGATATTAGCATACAGCTCTTCCTTTCTGTGTGGTTGAAGTGCTCAGAAATCCTTTCTCTCCTGGCTTTTGTCTTTTGAAGCAGTATGTGTCCTCTAGAACCCCGGGGACAACTGAATAGTTTTCAAGTACATGAGTAACAGGTTATATGCAGAAGGTGATGACTGTATTTTTTAAAATGGGAGAAAGATGATTGCCAACTCAGATACATGGTCAACTGTCATTTCACAAACAATGTCCTGTCTGATACCAGATGCCTCAGACAACACCTTCACCCCCTTTTGCCTTGCTCCCCGGAAGCCTGGGCACTTGGCTTACATGCCCTCAGTTCTCCTAGCATCTCCTATGCTTACTTCTGCCACTGACTTATGGAAAGAGGTGGGAGGGTTTGCTTTCAGGGAGCACATGTGCAGCCCTGTTGGGAGACGCCAGGTGAGACAGTGAGGACGGAGAACACAAGAGGCCCAGGATGCGGGCCTCCCCTTTCCAGGGTTCTTGGAGACAGGACATCTGTTTTAGGCATAATTCTGTTTGAACAATAGAGCTTTGGGGGGTGGAGGGGTTCTTCTTCCTGATCCCTGGTGGTAGCATTGGAGGCCTTCAGCCCACCTTATATATGACTAGAGTATTCTGGCTACTAATATGTGCAAACATCATGACTACTACTATTATTTATTAGGAGCTCATTTGGGAAGGAGTCTTTGTTATGTGGTTTAGGCTGGCCTTGAACTCACTATGTAGCCTAGGCTGGTCACAAACTCACAGAGATCCTCCTGCCTCAACCTCCCAAGTACTAGGGACACAGGTATGTTCCACCATGCCCAGGGATGAGGTGTCTATCAAAGACCCTTTCTTGCAAGTTCTAGAGAACCTATGAAGGACTTTGCTTGCCACACATCTTGGTCCAGACACCTCCCCAGGGGCCGCCGCAGGTGCCATGCCAGCCCCTGTGCCAGGCTGGACCCAGAATGGGCACCAAGTACTGTAGGAATCAAGTGCTTTTAACACAGAGCTAGGAGGTTGGAAAGATGGTGCAGAAGGTTAGGTGACCCCCAGAGCCTTGGGCCACCAGGATCCATGCCCACTCCCTGTGCAATAACTGCTGCTTTGTGTCTATACCTTTGTTTCCTTTTTCGGTTGTAGTTCTGATAGTAGAACCCAGGCCCTCACATGTGCCAGGCAAGCGCTCACCACTCGGGCACACCTCAGCTTGTCCCCAGCTGTCCTAACAGTTTTCTTTTCAACAGGGACGGCATATAAGCCCTAAGGCAAACCATTTCGTTCTGGTGCTCTGTTTTCTAATTTCTCATTTTCCTGACCCACTTCCATCTCCCAAACAGCACTGCCTATCAGATTAGAGGAATTGATTCCTGGGTGAAATCAGTTTTATTTTTGTTTGAAACACATTATACTGTGGACCGTTGCAAAAGTCTGCTCGAGCTGAAAGCCAAGTTTGAAGGCCCAGAAGTGGCCCAGCTTCCCATCACTATGCTTGGGGTCTGGGGCACGACTGCAGCCTCCTCCAGACAGGCTGGAGGCTGAAGAAGTTGTGGACGCACCCAAGGCAGCACAGCTCCTGTTGCCCAGCTGCTGAGTCCTGAGATGGGCTGTCATTCCTACAAATATTCTGTCTATTTGTTCCTTCATGGCTAATTGCACGGAGTAACAAAAAACACCTCCTTGGCTTACAGCTTGGCAGCCCCAGAAGCTTGTGTTTTCTAGAGACAAAATGAGAAGCAGGTTTCCTGGACCCATCTCTAAGTCAGTCTTCCCTCTAGAGACACAGATCCCCATGCTTCCCAGTGACTCTCAGTCAGGGCGCCCCAGAGTGAAAGAGTGGGAATAGGATGGAAGGGGAAGCTTAGGCTCAAGCACAGGTTTTCATAGCCATGAGAGGAAGCTGTTTTTCTTCCAGCCTTTCTGCTTAAAAAATAAGAAAGCCTGGTGGTGCTCACTGGTGAGAGCTTGCCTGGCACACACAGGTCCTGGGATCCATGTCCAGCACCACGGAAGAAAAGGAAACCCTCACGTTCCCTGGTAGCAACCAGAGAGAACAACTGAGCATATACTGCTGAAAAAAGGGCTGTGGCGTCTATCCTGTGCATAACATCAAGGGTCAGCATCTTGGGGAGCGTAAGCCCTAACAAAATTAAGTCACCGAGAAAGTATCTTTATTTGCTCCATCTGTCATAGCAAAATGAGAATCCATTCTCTTCTTCTCTATAACATAGGATTGTTCTGGGTGTGGTGGCACAGGTCTGTAATCCCAGCACTCAAGAGGCTGAGGCAGGAGGACCATTGTGAGTTCGAGTCCAGCCTGGGCTACAAAGTGAGCTCAAGGCCAGCCCAAACTGCATAGTGGGACCCCATCTCAAGAAGACAAAATAAAATAAAGTCAGATTGTTCAATGGGAAGTATCTACCATACAATTACCTCAAACAAGGGCCTAGAGGGAAACCAAATAAAGGATACTTCTGTACTTGGGCCTTTGTTCTCACCTAGAAAGTGAATGTCAGACACATTTATCCAAACCAGTGACATTCAAGGAGGGGACACAGTGCTGAGGGAAGACAGAATGGAGGACTTTAGATTGGAGGCTCTGCCAAGCTAGGTGGCATGACTCTGAATTCAAGCACTCAGCAGGCTGGGGCAGAAGGATCACTGAGTCCAAGGGCAGTCTGAACTGCACAGTGAGACCCTGTCTCAAACCCCTTCCCAAACGAATGCTTGACAGTGAGTCATTGATAGTGTATATTAAAAATGAAACAAAAGTAAACCAATAAAATCATGGGTGACCAGTTTTTCCGGCAGCTCATGTTCATACAGAGGTGCATACTACCTGTTATTTAGTCAACCTCTATTCTGCCCGCAAGACACTCCACAGGCGCTGGGAGAAACAGCTGGCAGGGCCCCTCCCCCTTAGGTACTACACTGTAGAGCCTGAGGTGGCCTCTGATATCAGAGCAACTGATACTAAGAAAAACTGAGAGTGAAAATTAAGTGTACCAAGGAGATGGGCAGCATACACAGAGTGCGCAGACCAGTCTGCTTTGAATGAGTTTGGGGACAAAGGCTGTGGTTGGGTGGGTGCCCATGTCATCAGGAGCACACTTTTGCTAGATGTCATTGAGACCCTGAATGACCTTTCCACTATCACAGTGCACATTCCTCTTTGTGGTGTGTAGTGTTTACACTGTAACTCAGATAACTGGTGTTGTTTGGGTACTTGCTGTGTAGATAGCCAGATGCAGGAACCTACACTGTCCAAAGGAGCCCCTTACAGCCTGTGCACATGCGCAGATCCAATCTCTCCTTGGGCTTTTCAAGGCACTTTGTTGTTCTTACAATGACTGTAGCTGAGATCTTTAATCTTGTGCATGAGTCAGCCACTGAGAGCAGATTCCTCAGCTCCCTGCTCACTGGGAAGAGCAAGAGGCCCTTCTCAGCTGCTGTCAAGAGCACAGCCCTTTCTCCATAGATGGCAGAGGAGGGAACAGCTGCCCAAGAGGACCTCCAGCTCACAGGGGTTGGAATCCCCTCCTCTAAGCGCGTAGGCATTGGGAAGTCTCAACTTCTCTAGCCCTGGTCTCTACAGTGGGGTGAAGAGCTCAGATTACATGGAGTGGAAGGCAGATTCGAGCTTTGGAGGTGCTCAGCAAATCGATTTGCATTCCTGCCACTTCTGCTAAATTTAGCCCCCCATCCAGTCATCAATTCATTTCTGGTCTACTGAATATCCAGTGAGCAGCTGCTAGGGCCCAGCTTTTGGTTCCGTGACACAACTGTGGTTACAAACAAGACAGAGAAACCTCTGGCTCCAGCAGCCCCAGGACTGGCAGTCTTGAATCTCCTCCACTCAGCGCTGGTATTTTTTGACCAACAAGTTAGCATTTAAATGACACCTAGCAGTAAGAAGAATGTGTGTAGCGTGCGGCATCCTGGGCAGACAGGGCTGAGGCTAGTTGTTCTGCAGCCTTAGCACCCATGTGAGCATTTCCCCCTCTGGCTTTGTACTGATTCCTGTTTACAGCTCCATTGGCTCTTGTTTTGGTTTCATCTTGGGAATGGCTTTCAGGTTAGTGCCTGCCTGGGTACAGTGTTGACGTTCTCACTGGTGACAGTCTCGTGGTCCACATGGCCAACCCTCACCTGACCGCACCCCACGTGAGCAAGACCTCTTTCACTGAAGAAAAGTTGTCCATGCAGAAAAGATAAACACTTGAAGTATTTGTTCATAGTGCAGAAGGGTCCTTCCTTTTCCCACAAGATTCATTTCAATTCAGTATTACCTTAAGAACATTACTGTAGAATGTAGTTAAAGAATAAGCTCATTTGTCTAAATTATACTTACCAACTATGATGCTATATAAAAACATTCTAAACACAAGTGGGCAGTTACAAGGTGTCTGTGGGCACCTAGGATGTTCTAGGGTTTTCTTTGGATGTCCAGGTAGGACAGACTTCTTACCTGCTACCACCTGTGTGGCTCTGGGAAGCTGGCAGTGTCCTCCTGGCCATGGCGTTGGCCCGGCTGAGCTCACTCTGTCACATTGCACTTCCTCTCTGTGTGTCTCTGGGACCCATCTCCCTACGCCTCTGTCTTCCACCACAGGAGTCACCATGGTCGACACGGAGATGCCGTTCTGGCCCACCAACTTTGGGATCAGCTCCATGGACCTCTCGGTGATGGATGATCACTCGCACTCCTTCGACATCAAGCCCTTCACCACGGTTGACTTCTCCAGCATCTCAGCACCACACTATGAAGACATCCCATTCCCAAGGGTGGACCCAATGGTTGCTGATTATAAATATGACCTGAAGCTCCAAGAGTACCAAAGTATGATGTTTCTGTTCACTTTTCAGACCGCTGGCACTGACTGGGGTGGGTCACTCCATAGCCCTGGAGTAAGTGCTGCAGAAGAAGCGCTGCAGAAGAAGGCAGTTACCGTGTGGGATCAGGCACCTAGTCATAAAAGAAGAGTTCTTTGTGATATGCCACCAAGAGAGGTCATGTGTCAGTGGCTCTCCTCCCTCCTTTCCTCTTTTGCTTGTTTTGCTTTTTGTTTGTTTTATTGAAACAGGGTCTTACTATATAGTTTTGGCTGGCCCTGAATCTCTGTTAGCCCAGGCCGGCCTTGAGTTAATGACGATCCTCCTGCCTCAGCTTCCTGAATGCTGGGATCACAGGCATGTGTCACCACACCTGGTGAGGAGCATTCTCTAGCATATTTCACTCTAGTTGTGTCACAGACTAAGAATCCACTTTCCAAACTTTAGTTCTTCTGGTTTTTATAAGTTAATAAGTAGTATTTGTAAGTCACCTTGTATAACTTATCATGACAAAGTGAATATTATTGTAACTTTTTATTTTCTAATCTTTTTTAACTTTCATTGTTTTTTTTATCTTCATAATTTTTTTTTCTAATCCCTGGTTTTTGAAATTTACCCTGACATATATTTGGGGGCATGCAAATTTGCATTTTAACACGATAGCCTACTGATAAATCTTCATGCCATTAAGGAAATTAACATCAAAACATCAGATGCAAGAAATACCAGAACAGTATTTTTCAAGATAAAATGTAACTTCTGTGCTGCTGCTTCCTTGATTTTTATCTTGCTGTGGGCCACTGTGTGGGTTTCCCAAAGCCACCGCTGTGTCACTGGCAACAACCATCATTTGATAATAAGTAAGAACTTCCTGTATTTCTGGGGTTTTTTCTTAGATAAATGGTATAGTTGATTGTATTTATTGGTGTGGTTTTCAGTTTGAGCCTAATATGGAAATTTAAGGCCTGGCCCCAACCAGTGGAAAACATTTCTCTATCAAAGGTCGGGGCCAAGCCACCCCTGTGCCCCTGCCCAAGGCCGCCCCCTCCTCCAGCTTGCTTCCTTGGTGCCCTGCAAGCCAGGCACATGGTGACCTTCTCACAGTGCTGCTCCTTCTGCCTTTCTGCAAAAGTGGTCTAACTTCTAGACAACCAAGGAATTGTTTCCTGTCACCTGCTCATTTTCCTGGTTTCCTATGTTAAGTGTTTGACCCATTGGGGAATATTGTGGCACACAGAAGAGGGATGTTAGAGTGAAAAATGGGACAAATAATTCCAAAATGCAATCCTGAAGTAAAAACCATGTTTTTAGTGGTGGGTGAAATGCTAAATCAAGATCATCCTCAGCCACCACGCCATCCATGTTGCCTGGTCCCTGCAGTCTGTTGGGGCCTGGGTGTTTCAGTCACTGGGGGGCTCAATTCTCGTTCCCATGCCACTTCTCAGGTGAGGCTCAGAGAGTTATGACAGAGCCTGACCACTCTGCCTTTGTGCCCTTCACACTGGAGCCCCACCCCCATAGCTAAGGTGCCACAGCCACTGGGAGTGCTGACAGCCTTGTCGTGTGTCGTGCATAGGTGCCATCAAGGTGGAGCCTGCGTCTCCCCCTTACTATTCCGAGAAGACTCAGCTGTACAACAGGCCCCATGAGGAGCCCTCCAACTCGCTTATGGCCATCGAGTGTCGTGTATGCGGTGACAAGGCCTCCGGCTTCCACTACGGAGTCCACGCCTGTGAAGGGTGCAAGGTATGCAGCCATCAGCAGAGATCACTGAAAGTTTTGCTGTGGGGTTTCCTGCAGCAGACTTGTCCCAGGAGCTGGAATAAAAGCATCACATCTTTCTTTTTCTTTTTCATTTTTTTGCTCTTTGGAAAAGCTCACTCTTCTAGTGAGGTAATATTTGAAAAAAACAATAAAAGCAGGATTGCTTCACCTACTTCCTTTCCTTAGATAGGTCCTTTCAGAAAGAAAAAGGAAGAAAAGAATAGATAAAAGAGACTAGTCATAGTGATTCACACCTGCAATCCTTAGGACACTCTGGGAGGCTGAGACAGGAAGATTGCAAGTTCAAGTCCAATCTGGGCAATTTAGCAACTTACCAAAACCCCTGTCCAGAATAAGGGCTGGGGATTAACTCAGTGTAAAGGCCCTAGTTCAGTCCTCAGTACCGAAAGAGAGAGAGAGAGAGAGAGAGAGAGAGAGAGAGAGAGAGAGAAGCTGAGAAGTTTTTATGGAGTCTACAGTAGTGAAGAGTACTGTTTTAGAGTGTTTATTAGTCATTTAAAATAAAACTTTGGAGGTGCCTGCAAACAGCCGGTGAAACCTTACAACTTCACATTTCTTGAAAAAGTCAAGTGACAAGACAAGGGGTTGTAATGGACTCCTTGAGGGGGAAGACAGTAAAATGCAAATTTCCAGGCGAGCATAGTGGTATCTGTACAATTCAAGTTCAGGAATTTCTATTCATTACGGTGCAGACATGATTTCAGGATGATTCCTCTCCGGCCTGGAAAGGCCCTGCATCATCACAACAGGAGCATGACTCACTGCTGAAGGCATCCAATGAGTCAAGCTCAAAATCTGCGTTGTGAGGGTTAACCTTAAGTAACATCATTCTCATACCAAAAAACTGTCCTCAGTAGCCAGACCACAAAACTGAGCATCAACCCAGCCCTTTGCCACTGAATTGAGTTAGAACCTCTCATACTCATTGTTTTGTTTGTTTGTTGTTTGGTTGGTTGGTTGCTGGGGGGGAGGGATTGTTGTTGTTTCTTGTGGCTGTGCTTCAATAAATCTTTATTTAAAAAAACAGGCAGCGGGGTGGATTTGACCCAGGCTACTCACTTTTTACCAGCCTAGACTTTTACTTTCTTTTAAATTAAATTCTTTTTTTTTTTTTTTTTTTTTTTTTTGTACTGGGGATTGAACTCAGGACTTTACGCTTGCCAGGCAGGCACTCATGCAACTGAGCTATCTCCCCAGCCCCTTAAATTCTGATGAGAACTGGTAATATAAAATTTACCCTCTTCTCTTCTCTTCTCTTCTCTTTCTTTCTTTCTTTCTTTCTTTCTTTCTTTCTTTCTTTCTTTCTTTCTTTTTCTTTTCTTCTGTAACAGGAATCAAACTCAGGACCTTGCCAGCGAGGCAATGTGCCACTAAGCTATATCCCCAGTCAAAATCTACACTCTTAACAAGTTTTTAAATGTGCAATTTAATACAGTTGCCTATAGTCACAGTGTTGTACAGCAGATTTCTAGGATTTATTCAGCTTGTGGAACTGTAACTTTAAAACCACTGAATAGGAATCTCTGCTCCCCAAGCCTCTGGCAGCCTCTATTCTACTCTGTTTGTGTGACTTTGACTTTTTTTTAATATTTTATTTTACTTTATCAGTACATGTTTTCAGTACATAACGTTTACTTTCAGTACATAATGTGTGGAGTTTGAACTAATTTTAAAAAGAGCAAATGAGACACAGACCATCACAAACTCTAAAAGAAAAAAATCTCTCACCAGCCTATTTCAGTGAGAATGCTTCTATGCATTAGTCTTTTACTGGCCAGTGAAAAACAAAATAAAAACAAAAACATAGCTCTGTCATGTCCTGAGGCCCTTAGAATGTATAGAAAATCAAAGAGGCTTCCACTCCCAGCAGATCCTGGCTGGGACAGACTCACAGAGGTATTGATCATCTCCCATAGAATAGGAGAAGAAGGAAAATGCACGTGCTGCAAGGCTCTGGCCCGAGCCAGGAGCAGCAGGCCGGCCTGCAGGCAGGCTTCTCCTCACCTCCACAACACCAAGAGCTGCGCAGAGTTACAAGGCCCTGGGAGGAGGGCCCTAGCCTGGGCCTTGGCCACTGAGCCAGGTGTCTCTGCGGACCCCAAGTCGGTGGCACCCAGCTCTGGCAGAAGCATCTGCAAATTTTTCTGGGAGAAAAGATTTCCAATTTTAAACCCCATAGGATTTCCACAGCTTAAGGTCAAGAAATGATTGCAAAATAAAATATCAACTAGCACATAACAAGGACACCACCTTGAATGACCTTCATAATCAACAAACAAAAACCTGACATAAACATCCCCACCCCCACCCAAGAAAAGCAGCTGCTGGAACTGTCAAGTCCAGAATACAGAACAGCTATAGGAGGACTGTATTCAGACAGAGCAGGGACCCCAGCAACAAGCCAGCAGCAATAGACATGAGGACTGAGCAGGCAGACAGGAAACCAAATCCATGCAACTTCTCAAAGGGAAATGGACAATGATTGCAAGAAAAATTTAATGGAAAGAAAGGTCAAATAGCATAAGAGACAGAACAGAAGAGCCGACAGAACTGAAAAGGAGACCTAAAAGTCACCAGATATGAGACTAATGCTGTCCTGAAGAAACACCCTTCCCAGCATCTTCTAGGATTCAAGGCTTCTGTAGTTATTGAAGGGATAAAAGAGCCCTTGAATTTTTAAAATAAAATTTCTTTCTTTATTTTTTTTCTGGCAGAACCGGGGATTGATCTCAGGCCCTTGCGTTTGGCAGGCAAATGCTTATTCTACTGAGCCATCTCTCCGTCTTTCTTTATTTTTTGAGACAAGGTCTCACTATACAGTCTGGGTTGGCCTTGAATGCATGGTGATTCTCCTGCCTCAGCCTTCCAAGTGTTGGGGTTACAGATGTGTGCTGCCACACTAGACAAGCCCTTGAAGGTGAAAAGGTCTATTTTCTTCACTCAACCATAGTAAAAGGAAGTGCAGAGATGTCTCACTGATGAAATTTAGAGTGAAACATTTTTAAATTTGTCAGTTTAATTACATGTTTTTGTGTGGCTTCGTTGTCAACTATTCTGCTTTTTTTTTACATTTGCAGTCATTGTTAGTGAATATTTAGACAAGAAGATGAAAAATACAATGTATTAATTATTGTTACTCTCCTACTAGTCTCTGTTTTATTTTTATTTTTTTCTTTCCGTATTTTAGGGGAAGGTCTTCAGGGTCTCACTACTAGATTGGACTCATAGTGATTCTCCTGTTTACAGCCTTCCAAGTGCTGGGTTTACAGGTGTGCACCACCATGCCCAGTCTCAATTGCTGTCTCAGTATGCCCAAGGGCAGGGCCAACACAGCAGACCTGGGGGTTGAAGCCCCAGCCCCTGCACCTGCTTGCAGGTGTTTTAATCCACTGAGCTGTTTGGCCGGCCAATCTCTGTTTTATTTTTATTTTTACTTTTTTCTGTTTACATTTTTTAAGAAGAAGATGGAAAATACAAAGTTCAAAAATACAAAGACTGGAGAAAGAAGGTCTAACAATTGTCTAATTGGAGTCCCAGGGCTAATGAACTAATGAAGTTGAAAACTTGTCTAAGAAAATAAGTGAAGCTGGGCATGGTGGCACACACCTGTAATCCCAGCACTTGGGAGGCTGAGGCAGGAGGATCTTTGTGAGTTTGAGACCAACCTGGGCTACAAAATGAGTTCAAGGCCAGCCTGAACTGCATAGTGAGACCCTTTCTCCAAAAAATAAATAAAAATAAATTTAAGAAAATAAGTGAAAAGAAAGTCATGCCTGCTCAGACATAAAAAGGGTAAAACCCTGGAGCAAAAGAAAGAGTGTAAAAGACAACCAATGAAAAAAGAAAAACTACCTTCAAAATTAACTGACAACACTGGCTGTGGCACGCGTCTGTTCTCCCAGCCTTCAGGAGGCAGAGACAGAGGATCACTCTGAGTTCCTGGCCAACCTGGAATAGATAGTGAGACCTTGTGTCAAACAAACCAACAAAATCAGTTGGCAGGAGGCTTCTCAGTAGCAGCAGCAATGGGAGCAGAAAAGCAAAAGAGAATTCGAAGTTTAACAAGAAAATGACTGGGGACCCTGTAATTGTTCAAGAATGAAGATAAAATGAAAATCTTCACAAATTAAAAAATAAAAACAATGAGGCTGGGGAGATGACTCAGTAGAATAAGTGCTTGCCTGGCAAGCTCAAGGGCCTGAGTTCAATCCCTGGTTCTGCAAAAAAATAAATAAATAAATAAATAAATAAATACACTGAAAAAGTGCATTCTAAGTACAGTAATCTTGAAAACAAAAGAAAGAAGACACAGAAAAGACCTCTAACAGAAAACAGATTCATGTCTGGAGTATAGAAACAAGACTAAAACTCAATTTTAACCCAGTCCATGAGAAACTGGGAAGTGAAATGTGAGTGTAGTTGAGGAGTCCAAGAGGGGCAGAAAAGGAACACAGCTCATGGGCAGGTGGCAGATAGGAGAGTGGGGGCGTGACTCAAAATGAGACAAGCTAGGATGAACTAAAGGGGACTGAGAGGTCCACAAGAGAGGTGGGCACAATAACAGCCACAGAATGAAAGGTTGAATAAAGATCTCAAAGGACTGAGACATCATCAAAATTTGCATGAGGGAAACAGACCTGTTTGTAAGCTGAACATCCCTAATCCTAAAACCCAAAATCTACAATACCCCAAAGTTCAAAGTTTTGATCACCAACATGATGGCCATGGAAACTTCCGCAGCTGACCTTGTGACAGGTCACACAATCAAAGTCATGCTCCCTAAAAATACGGTGTAATATTATCTTCCAGTTTAAGATGATGTAAAGTTTCATGTGTAGTCTTGGGTTTCTTCTCCAAAGTGCACATGTACAGATAACACAAAATCTGCAAGAATCCAAAACACTTTCGGTCCCAAATCCCCAAATATGTTGAAGGGTAGGCTCTGCAGAAAACCTGAGTGCATTGACAGAGGGAACTAAGTCAGGAATTTTGGTACCAAATAGGACTAGATCCACATGATGGAATTAAGAACTGAGCACACTACAGATGAAGAGGAATAATATGAACCACCAAGAGTGGGGTTAGAAGACATTTCCTTTTTTTTTTTTTTTTAGAAGACATTTCCTATTGAAAAGTTTTCAGTTCTCACAGAAAGATACAGTGAACAGCCAAATGTTAGCCCCAAAGTGTTGCCATTTTGTGCTAGGTTTTCTGAACATTACTACTCAAGTTATTTCCTGCTATCTCTTCTTGTCTGTAGGCTGTGATGATAGGCACTCTGTCAACTACATCAATAAATGAAATGAATTCTGCAGGAAGTTATGCAACAGTGAGAATTCCAAAAAATTATCCACATGTAGATTTTTATTGGCCCTGATGGTGTTTTAGAAGGAAGTGATTATAAGTTTGCCAAACTGCTTAGCACAGTTCTAAAGCCCAGGCATGCTGTGTGGATGGTTTGCAGAGAGACTGAACTGATTATATGGTGTATTCCTTGCTTACATTAAGTCCAGAGATCTCTGCAATGCAAGCAAATGAAGCACACAGAGAGCCAGGGTATACCAGCTGATCTGAGCTGGACATGGTCACACTGAGCAAGGACACTGGAGAACCTCTGATTCTCTACCTTAGAGCAAAGAAACTGAGTTCCAGAGAGGTACTTGTCCAAGTCAGTGTCACATAGACTTAAAGGTTGCTTCTTTTTCCCATATATCTTTGCAGGGTTTCTTCCGGAGGACCATCCGATTGAAGCTTATTTATGATAGGTGTGATCTTAACTGTCGGATCCACAAAAAGAGTAGAAATAAATGTCAGTACTGTCGCTTTCAGAAGTGCCTCGCAGTGGGGATGTCTCATAACGGTAGGTGACACCATCGCACACGCTCTTTCTCATTGTAGCCATGAGGTCAGGAAGCTCAGGGCCACTAATGGAAATGTATACAGTTTTTCCACTAAATGCCAGGTTTTGGGATATTGCATGACCAGATATTTCTCATGTATATCAGTGACTTCAAGATTTTGGTGGCGATTGCCTCTCTCTGTAGTTTGGCATCTGCAAGGATGAGAGAAGGGACCTGAAAATCGGTGGGATATTGAAAAAAAAAAGCATAGTGTTTTAAAAGAATGTGGCGACAATTGTGCTGAATTTTTATGCTCCTTTAACGGAATCATTCTTATGTGCATTGGTAGTTTCTGTCTACTCATATATAAGGAAATTATGAAGATCTCTGGATATGGAATTTTAAATGGCATATCAGGATTTAGATTTATGTATGCTTTTTTCTCTTTTCTATGCAGAGATGAGTATAGCATTATTTTTTATTTCAGAGAACATGCAGACTTGTAAAAAGAAAGCAAATATTCTGAATTCTGCAAAACTTTAAAGCCATAGAAACAAGAGAACACAACTTTGCACTTCTTGAGGCTGTCTCTAATGTCCAGCTTGAGGCTGGAGGTGTAGCTCAGTTAGAGTGCTTGCCTCGCACACACGAGGCCCTGAGTCTGAGCCTTAGCACCATAAAAACACCATTAAATTTGAGTGTGAAATAACATCAAAGACCTGAGAAGACCTACGTTTTTGTGAATTGCAGAGCTAACTCAATAAAAATCATGGACGATATGCCTGTTAGAAGAAATAATTCTTCATCAGTTTTAATTGGTTGGTCCACAAAACAAAATGTAGCTATAACTTGATAGTATTATATTAATCAAGAATTAGCCAATTGTTTTATTTCAGAAATCATTGTGGGCTCAAGAAAACCATACCAAAGTGATCAAATTAAATCAGAACTCTCATTTTATTTGATATCTGTTTTCTGTCCCTCCCCACCACCCTTGGTACTGGGGATGGAGCCCAGGGCCTCGTGTGTGCTAGGCAAGCACTCCACTGAGCCACCTCTCAGTTCTGATTCTTTTCTTTCTTTTACTTTCATCTTTTACAAGACTGACCTGGTAAACAGATGCTCTTTAGGGTCATCTTCATCTGTGTGGACTCCAGTAACTTTAAGAAAATTTCATCTTTGTTGCCTTGCACATGTTTGGCTTTCACAGTGAAAAACCATCAAGATATTTGGAAATCACTATTGGTTGATCTTCTGCTCTTTTAAATTTGCTTGCAAAATCCAACTTGTTAATATGGGTCAGTTCTAAAGGTAAGAATGTATTATATGTCGAGCTGTCAACGGTACTGGACAGGGTGGGAATTTGGTCCAACTCTCCTCAATAACTGGCCACATCTGCTTTGTGGTTGTGGAAACTGTAGTCACTGATTGCAAAATAATTTGCTGGTTTAATTCCATTAGTTTCCTTCTTATTTCAAGCCTCATAAAACATAAGGACAAGTTTTCAAGTCAAGGGCTATATTTTAGATGATGCAACCCAGCTGCAATATGCCTGTTCCATCCGTATGGAGAAATCATTGACTTTGAGGTCATTAGCACCCAATCAGCCTCAGCAAGCATGCCAGTTCTGCTTTTAATGCTGTTTATGCTCTGTTTGTTGGAAATCTATCACTTCACACATCCATGGGAATGCTAATTCCTAGTATTCATGGGCTCTACACACATGGATGTAAAATGTATTTCCCCTTGCTTATAAGCAGAACCCCCACATTCACATAAAATATACTCCCTGTGGCTTATTGTTTATAAGCAAGTATCACTTAAAGCCCCACCTACAGGTTGGGTGTAGTTCCGAGGCACTACATATGCTTAGCATCCGTGAGAACTTGGGTTCCATCCCCAGCACCAGAGAAAAAGTGTTTCTAAGAAGCTGGGGGTACAGTACAGTAGTAGAACATTTGCTTAGGATGCACACAGCCCTGGGTTCCATCCCTAGCACTCCAAACAAGCTTAGTCTATACAGTGTAGATGGTATAATTTTCTCCTCTAAGAAAAGTGAAATTAATAACCTATGATGAGCTTGATACTAAGGCCATTTTTTCACTTCATGTAAAAATATATTCTATTTAGAGAAGGGGCTATTTTGACAGAGTGTTTAGTTCTTTCAAAAGCAAGAGAAAATAGGAGTTAAATTCATAAGAGCAGAATTGTGTGTAACTCATTCCTTAAAGGGTTGCAAACATGTCCAAGAAAATCCCTTCTAAGACTGGTTGTAGCACTGGGCTTGCTGTGCAGGAAGGAAGGTATCGGGGGCTCTGTACACAAGCAGGGAAGCTCAGCAGCTGGCTTTTCGTTGGTTTTGCATGTTGCTCTGATGGAGCAACCATCTAAATATAAGCTTCGTAGGTGGCTGCAGTCACTGTTTGAGATCCATTGCCCTGGCCAGTGTGTGGCATGGTATGGGGTTGTAGTATCAGAAGGCCATTCAGAGCCACTACTCCATGTTACATGAAAATCAGCATCCAGCTATCCTCACTATGCCAAGGAAATGCACACCCCAAGGTAAATTCCTTCCAATCTGTGTGACTTACTTCTGCTGTTTGATTTCTACTCAGATTATTTGATATGTTTGAAGAAGGCTTCCAAAGTCATCTTTAAAGAGCCCAAAGGGCCCTCAGCAATACTGTTGGAAAAGCACTGAAATCAGTGATCCCTACATCCTTTCAACTGAAATGTCTGATTTTTTTATTATTAATCAACCTAAATCACTGAATTTTTCACTTTTCCACCACTCCCTATCCTTTAGACTATGTTAAAATCTTCCCATAAGGATAGGCACCTGGCATGCTACTTGCCTGAGTTTAAAAGTTTCCCTCCTATATGTTTTGGTGCTATCAAAATATCTTTTATTTGTCCAAGTCAAGTCTATATATTATGATCAAATATTCAGCAATTTGAGGCAAGGAGTTGATGGCTGTGGTGTGATATAGTCCCAGTGTACACACCAAAGCAGTTTGGTTACAGAAGGCATAAGTTGTTTATTAAGTGCTAGTTGGTAAGTTCATCGCCACTGTCATACATACCTACAGTAAATCAGCTTACAGAGAGAGAAGCTTATCTTGGTAGACAGTCAGTTTCAGGTGCCTAATCCCTGGTCTAGTCCCTAACCCTGTTGCTCTGGGCCTGTGGTGACACAACACATCATGGCAGGGACAAAGTAGAGAAAACTATTTCCCACTCTCCAAGGACTGGAAGAAGAGGAAGGGCCCAGGTCCCTAAAACCCCTTCCAGGGTACACCCCAGTGACCGAGTGTCCTAGCCTCTCGAAGGTCCCATGCCTCCAGGTAGCCACAAGCTGGGCACCTTCAACACATGGCTGTGGGACATTCCCAATCTAGACTGCAGCACACAGCCACCACTCACCAGATAGAACTTCCACAAGGGGCTAGTAGAATGGATTCCATAATCCTTCCCACTGGAAACGGTTGTTTCTCAAAGATCTATTTTCAGAAGACATTATTTCTCAGATGTTTTCAGCATTGGGTTGTTTTTTTTTTAAAAAAAAAAAAAAAAAGGCATCCTGGTGATGTATGGATTTTGATGTGATTGGAAACAATTGTTGGGTTGCAATCTTCCTGTAAGTCATCAAGATAAACACATTCGCAAATATTTTGGGCATTTGAAAATCCATCATTTCTAGACCACAGGTCAGCCCCACTGGGTGCTCAGAAGTCTTCCTGAGTCACCCCAAACACAGTCAACTCTGTACACAGTCTAGACACCACCTTCCGAAGAAAGCTCAAAATGAAATGAAGCAGAAGCAAGGGGCCACAACCCAGGCTCCCAAGAGGGGCACCTACTAAGTGACTGTGCCCCAGCTGCTGTCCTGGGGGGAATCCCATCATGCAGAGTGTCACTTGGGCAAGCCATAGATACTTGTATGTATTGTCATAGTTGTGCCCTGTACTTGTTCCTGTTTTACAGGCCTACTTCCAGTCCCTGATATTAATTGTATTTTTGAAACATATCCTCTTATTTTAATAAAGTAATTTAATCATTAAGAATTTTGATGAGCGAATATTTCAGAGTTGCTTTCCACATATGAACTAAATAATAAGTTTAGGGGAAATGTAGTTTAGACATTATCTAAAGTAGAAAAAATTGGCATTGTCTATTAGTCATTCAGTCATTTTTTATAACATTGACATTTGATTAACATAGTGCTTTTCATAAGTTTAAAAATTAGCAAATCTAATTTTGCTGATTGGGGTGTCCTATGGTATAAATGATGTGGGCTTTTTTTCTTTTCTTGTTTTAACTGCTGACAGCTTTTTTAGAAAGTTTGTCAGTGGCTTCATAAAAATCTGGAGAAATGGCTTCACAGATTTGTAGAGCTCAGCACTTTTAAAGTGGTTATCTCCAAGCCTTGCAAACAGTAGTGCATGCATATTAGGAAATGGGGCCCTGACTGTCACATAGGTTTAAATGTTTAAGTTTTACTTATTTAAAAAAAAAAAAATCCTTTGCTATGGTTTTGCTCTCCAAAATCCCTGAAAGGCTCATGCTATTAGGAGGTGATGGGACCTTTACGAAGTGGGGCCTGGTAAAGGAAGTGAGGTCAATGGACAGCGCCCTGATGAATATTAAGACCTCAGCACTTCCTGTCTCTCTCTGCTTGCATCACAGCCCCCAGGAGGTGAAAAGACCTCCTGGCCACAGGCTCCCACCTGATGTACTGAGCCTTTGCAGGCCAACACTGGAGCCCACAACAGGATCTTGTTAGTGGTGTCAAAGAAAATTACCTAGAAGAGTGAGAAAGAAGGAGCTCAGAAATCTCAGAAACCAGGGGTGGTGGCCTGTAATCTCTGCACTCAGGGTTGCTGCAAATTCACAGCCAGTCTGGGTTTCCTAGTGAGTTTAAGTCAAGCCTGAATTATTTAGTAAGACTCTGTCTTGAAAAAAAACAAATAATAGTAGTCGTAATAATAATAATCTTTTTTTTTTTTTTTTTGTGGAACCG